CTCCAAACTCCATTTTACCCACAGAGCAATTTGTACCTTTACTTTATCACAAAAATCATCAAAAATGAGTTATGCCCCTTTGAACCTATATTCATTTCGCAATCTCCATACAAACCATAACATAACAGATGGAACCATCTCCCATAATCTAGAAACCCAATGTTTACTCTTACCAGCAGACCAGTACTGTAAAAGGCCCTGAACAGATCTGGGAATTGCCGAAACCTGATCACTCCATCTTACCATTTGAGACCAACATTTCCACACTAATGGACAAAACAGGAGCACATGATTCAAGGATTCCACTTAGATTGGCAAAATACACACATATTATCTGTTGATACATGTAGCACCCCAATCCTCTGAAGGAAGATTGCAGTCTTAACTTTGTCTCTCCAAGCCAACCAGCAAAAGAACTGCACTTTTGGCGGAGCTAAACCGACCCAACCCCTTTAGGCACAACCTGACCAGTCCCTATTGTAGCATCCCACCATCTTCTCACAGAAGAGGCTGAAAATAGACCTGAGCTATTTGCTAACCAAGAACAAGAATCAACACAATTAGACCTCACCAATGTAGAGGTTTCCAACAGATCCATCAATCTCTTCAGTTCCTTAACTTCCCATACAAATAACTGTCTTCTAAATTTCAGCTGCCACAGCCCTAGATTTCTCTTCTTAGCACTGATTTGTTGAAGGGTCTCTTCTCTCTCTCAATAGATAGACTATAGAGTCTGGGGAATTGAACCTGCAGATCTCTATTGTTAAGCCATTTATCCTGTCAAAACATAATTCTCCCTCCATTTCCAACCTTAATTCTGAAATGATCACCATAGAACTCACCCAATTGCTGATTTGCCGAGAGAAGTTTCACAATGTCCAACCAAACTGTGGACATCCCACCTAAGAGACTCAGAGCTGGAAGCCAACCTCCTCCATTCTTACCATACCTTGAACAAAGCACAATTTTCCACAAAGCTATATCTTCATTACCATACCTCCACCACCACTTTAATAACAAACATTCATTTACCTCTCCTAAAGCTCTCACACCCAAACTTCCTTGACTTTTACTCTTTGTGATCTCCTTCCATTTGACCAAGTGCACTTTCCTTTTATTAACATCCCCTTCCCACAGAAAAGATGACTGCAACTTGACTAAGACTTTAACAACACCCTTAGGCATTCTAAAGAGAGAGAGAAAATAGATTAGCAAATTAGCAAGGATTGCCTTGATGAAAGTCAACCTCCCAGCATAAGATAGTAACTTCCTCTTCCAAGAGGACAACTTTTTCTTCACCTTCTACACAACTGGGTTCCAAGTACTCTGTTTTCTAGGATTGGCCCCTATTTGTACGCAACATCGTCAACCCAAGTCCCCGATGCATTCATCTTGAAGTCTCTATCAAGGGACGCATGGAGCAAAGAATCAAATTGGATGGGATATGTCGCTGTGGCCACAGACGAAGAGATGGCTAAGCTGGGAAGGAGAGACATTGTGGTTTCCTGGAGAGGAACACACCAGGCCTTGGAATGGGTTAATGATTTGCAAATTCTTCTCGTTTCACCTTCAAAGATACTTGGAGAGCAAGATGATGATACTAAGGTGCATCAGGGATTTCATTCTATCTACACTTCAAATGATCCAAGATCACCATTCACCAAGACTAGTGCTAGAGACCAGGTAATTTTGATAAACTATTTACATATAAGCTTATACTTCTTAAGTAAGGAAAAACATACCCAACCTAAAAAAGTTGATCAAAAAATGAATCATATAAAGTCTAACACTTTGTGTGATGTAAGCACACTGAGAAGACATCTAGTGCACAGCGCTTCATTTTTCAGATAACTTTTTCGGGCTTCCTAACATTATAGTTTAAGAAAAGATAGTATGTAATAATTTCTTAATTTGCAGAACAATGCCAAAACTAATATTGTTGTTTCATCATTTATAATATATTTTAGATTCTTGAAGAGGTCAGAAGGCTTGTTGAAGAATACCAAAATGAAGAAATCAGCATAATTGTAGTTGGTCGCAGTTTGGGTGCAGCAATTGCAACCTTAAATGCATTTGACATAGGTCATGTTTGGTGTAGCTGTTGAAACAGATTATAGATTATAGCGAAACAGATTATAGATTATGACTTTAATCAGAAGCTGTTAATCTGTTTGGTGTAGCTGTTGGATTATAGATTTAAGTTGTTGCATAGTGTTTGTTAAATAAGCTGTGAAGTAGCTTTTTCAATTAACTTTTATTTTTTATTATTCACTATTTGTCTACATTTCTCATAAATAATAAAAATAATATTCTAAAGTCCATTTGGGTCTTTTTCTATTTTTAAAAAAATAAAAAATAAAAAAATCTAAGATTATAACCGTGAATTAACATGTCCACAACAGAAGCTGATAATCAGAAGCAAGGGGTGAACAACTTCTCAGAATCAACTTTTTTGACTTAAAATAAGTTGTTAAAATCAGAAGCTGTTTGAAATAAATTTAACCAGACAGTCAAAAATAACTTTTTAAAAGTCAGAAGCCATAAGTTGACTAAAAAAAGCCCTACCAAACACCCCCATAGCTGCCAATGGATTGAACATTCCTAGAAACCAACCAGACAAGGCGTGTCCTGTGACTGCCTTTGTGTTTGCTAGCCCAAGAGTTGGTGATTCAGACTTCAAAAAGGTCTTGTCTGGGCTAAAAAATCTCCGTGTTCTACGTGTTCGTAATGCCCTAGATATTGTTCCAAAGGTTCCATTCATAGGCTACAAAAACGTGGGTGAAAAATTAGCTATTGACACTACGAACTCCATCCTTTAGCAACGTTGCTATTGGTGTCCATATTGTTTTATTTTTTTTCTCTCTCTAAACAATATGTGTATCAGTTTGTTTGTATGAAAGTTATACTGAATGAGCTTGTGCTGCGTGCTTTATATAGTGAGCTTGAGACAGACCATTCTATGCTGTGTTTGGTTGCATTGACTGTTTGGTAAGTCTAATCTTAATGCATGACTGTTTGGTAAATATTCTAATCAAAATGACCATAGTATCCAATAAGGCTGCTTGTATAATTCACCCATGCAAAAATAAGACTTAAAAATTTTGGTCAAAAATGAGAAAATAACTTGTTTGGCTGATTCAAAATGAGTTTTTTGATGTCTCTGAATTACACGCGTGAATTTGCTTGTTGAAATTTTTGTGGAACAAACCCACATTTGATGTATGCATATTCATTCTATCTCTTGACATAATAATATGAAAATGTTATACATGTAGAAATATTTTATATTTTTGTTAATCACTAGAAATAGAGGCATGGTTCACACGTATATTAATATTGAAATCACTACCTTATGTTTAATGATTGGAAAATCTGATCAAGATCTGTTTATAAATATAATTACTTTAAAGGTATATGCTTAATATGCTTAGAAATATAATTTGTTGTTGAGATTCAATGTTTCTATGACAGAAACCCATGTTTTAAGTGAATTTTGACGATGCATTAAATATTTTGGTATTTCTTTTATATATATATACAAATTATGTATAATTAGCATTGCCCATGCTCTAAAATTATTATCAGTGAGCACGTTTTTTTATGCATTTTTGTATTCAATTTCCAACCATTTATGTGAATGTTAACTTGAAGGGTTTGGCCTGGTGGATAAGATTTAGGATCTGGAGGTTTGTTGTCTCTAAGATCTTAAGTTTGATTACTCTCATCAGCAAAAATTACAAGGGTCATGGATTGGAGGGCATAAATCTTATTTCGAAAGGTTTGTTCATGCTGTAGGGATTTAAGTACAACATGGCTCAATTACGTGAATGTTCGTGATTAATTCTTTATTTAAAAATAATTTAAACGAAATAGGTGAGGGGAAAAAAATATCTCGCCACCTAACTAAGGGTTGTTTTGGGAATTGATTATTTTAATTTTTTACTCTCATCAGCAAAAATTACAAGGGCCATGGATTGGAGGGCATAAATCTTATTTCGAAAGGTTTGTTCGTGCTGTAGGGATTTAAGTACAACATGGCTCAATTACGTGAATGTTCGTGATTAATTCTTTATTTAAAAATAATTTAAACGAAATAGGTGAGGGGAAAAAAATATCTCGCCACCTAACTAAGGGTTGTTTTGAGAATTGATTATTTTAATTTTTTTAAATAAAAAGATGTGCAAAAAAATAAAATAAATAATTGAATTTTTCATAGTAAATTTTTTTTATAAAACTTTTTAGGTATTTTAACGTGTTGCCAAAACGTGCTTAAATTTATAAAGGAAAAAAAAAATTATTTTTGAGAGAAATATCTTTTCTCCACCTTTAGACAAACAGTACCTAAAGAATTTCTTTTTTGGACTCAATTAAAAAATATTTATAAATGATAAATTTTATAAAAACTATTAATTAAAATTATAAATTTTTTAAATATATATAATTACTTTATGAAAGTACTACTGAGGGTTTCTTTCGAAAAATGACATTTTAAAGAAATTTTTGACATTTTAATTAAAATATAAGTATGCAAAAACTGATGTGTTTATAAAAAATTTCGAAAAATGTGTAAAAAGGAAAGTGAATACATTTCTTTTTTGGACCTTTCATTTGACTTTTTACCTTCTAGTTTTTCTAATAACTTTTATAACTAATTTAATTGGATAAATTACATCAATAGTCTCTATATTTTGCCTATTATATCATTTGATTTCTATACTTTTAATTTATTCAAATTTGATCCGTGATTTTAGATTTTGTATTAATTTGATCGAATTGATAATATAATATCGTTAGTGTTTTCAATGAAGAATTATCTCTGAATTAATTGTGATTAACTCACTAAATTGAATAAGTTTATTATTTTGCCTTTAAAAATATGATAGATATCCCTTATGTCCGTATTTTTCATAAAAAAAAAAACTCTAAGAGTAATAATTAATTAGATTAAATTAAGATAAAATTATAATTTTAACCTTAAAATTAAACTAATTAAAATTATAAGCACTAAAATAACACAAAAACTAAAATACAAAACGTAATTTTCGCAATTTAATTTATTGTGAAACCATCCGTGAATAGTATTTTTTCAAAAATTTTCTCATCGGACAGAAAAGTCTAAGCGTTGAACTTTTCACAAAGAAGAAAAAATCCAACATATGGAAAGTACGAAGGCATGCCTTGCAAGTTCAAAAATCTTTTGGACTCCCCCCCAAAAAAAAACATAGTACGAAATGAATACATTTCGTGAACCTTTCTAGTACGAAATGAATACATAGTACGAAATGAGTTTATCGGAAGTTACACGTTACCCTTTATATTTGGTTATTTTCTTATTTTAATTTAATTTTTTTTTTCTCATCTTACCTTTTCATGTTTAATTTTTTCAATTCATTTTAAAAACTAACTTACACATAAAATTAGATAGAAAATAACACATTGACAGCCGCGTGATATAAAAATATTTCACTATATAATTCATATTTCTGATACAAATCCAAATTTCATATAATATATATATTTTTTTTTTTGTTAAAATGATATACAAATTCGTTTTTTAGACTTTTTTTTTTTTTGAATGTTTCTAGATCTAATGATATGTAAGTGATATGATTAGTTAATGATTAGAGAAAATATGAGAGATAGTGATGTCTTAGATATCTAAAGCCACATTATTGGGCTTGAGAAGTGTGTTTAATTTTTAGACTTGTATAATATTAATTTTTTATATTATGGGACAGTTAACGTAACATTTTTCGTCTAATTTTGAAGAGATATTAATTTTAGAAGTAAATTGGAGAAAACTTAAATATGAAGGGCTAAAATAGAAAAAAAAATTAATTATTAAATTTTAAGGATCTAAGTGAGAAAATAGCCAAACATAAAGGAGGCTAAGTGTAATTTATTCTAAGTTTAATTACACTTTTTACATTTGTAATTTGATTCAAAATTTATTTTTATTTTAATTGTTTCAATTTGGTTTTCATTTTAAATTTCGACTAATTTTATCTGCATATATATTTTAGAAAGTTGACAGATGTCTTAAAAATATTAATTTTAACATTCAATTTAGACAAAAGAAACCAAATAAAAACTACAATTGAAGTATAGGGCCTAAACTATAAGAATGAAAAACATAACCTAAAAAATATTCGACGTAGTTTGGGACTGAAATGAAGTATTTTAATGACATTAAAGTGAGGTTTCATTAAAAGATGAAAATGTAATTTCTATTTGTAGTATTGTGCTTGTAATTTTTTTTTTAATTTTTTTTTATTTTACTAATGATTGTATGAGGTGTGATCAAAAGATACATGATGTGTTTGTAGTCTTGAGTAAGTCTTTTTTTCAAATCAAGATTTTAGGTGGTTTCATCAAAAGGTAAAAGATGTAGTTTATATTTGTAGTTTTGTGTTAGTAATTTATTTTTGGAATAATTATTAAACAAAAATAGCAGGATAGAAGCGTTTTAACAAAATAAATCTAGAGTTCTTAATTTTATCAATTTAAAATCTTATATTTTAATTTATTTTCAATTTAAATCATTCGCTTATTTTGGTTAATTAAAACCAACAGAAAAAAATATTTTAGATATTAAACTCAATGTAGATATACATAAAATGCCTAAAATATTCTTTTTTATTGAGTTTAATGAACAAAATACTCTTTTTTTTAATCGATTTTACTTAATGAAAATAAATAGTGGTTTAAATTGAAAATAAATCAAAAGTTTAGATTTTAAATTAACAAAATCAAAAATTAAGGATTTATTTTATTATAAGAGTCAAACCTTAATTTTTTTTTTTTGGTAATTTTATCTTTATTATTTTATTTTTAATAAGAAAAACTCATGCAGCTACAATATTCTTGCTACTTTTGGCATTCCGATGTGTGAGGTATGAGGTCACCCGGTTAAAAATATGAATAATAAAGTTATTTTTTTGGAAAAAAGATTGGAAGTTCTAAATATAGAGCTGTAAGGCCCCGTTTGTTTTCAGAGATAGAATGGAGGGGATTTATAGTGAAGGGATTAATAGTGAGGGGTTTAAGTAAAATTGTGTTTGTTTTAATGATAGTTGTTAGTGTAGGAATTGTTAAATTATTTTTATATAAAATAATAAAACAAATAAAAAAAATATAAAAACTTAAACATTAATATTTTAAAAAAAATTCTCAATATATAAAAAATAAAAAATTTCTAATCCCCCTCACTATTTTTCTAATATCATCTCTACCTCCTCCTTCTCAATCTCCCTTCCAAGGCCTTTATTAATACCAAGGGATTAGGAGTCCCCTCCCCGTCTCTCAAAACAAACACCCCATATAGTAGTCCCACCTGACTATCAATCTCAATTCTCTCCCTATAACCCCAAACAAACGGGGCCTAAAGGAGCTCTAATGACCTATCTCCACCCATGATGTGATGTTTGTGCCTTATTTTTTTATTTTAGTTTTGCTTTGTCGCATCACTAGAGCTCAATTAGAGCTCCAGATTTAGAGCTCGGTATCATTTTCCATTTTGTTTGATTGGTAGTTTAGATAAAATTGTGATAAAGTCATTAATTAATTGGAATTAAATTAAGAGAGACTTATGTATAGGTCTTAATAGATAGACTTATTATCTAATAAATCTTATAATAATTAATGGTATTTTTCATTAAACAATATTAGAAAACATCACAAATTATTAATTTTCAAAGACAGTTTGAAAATTGTTACAAAAAAATCATTAATTATAAGTTTTAGCGACAGTTTTAAAAAATTGTCACAAAAAGTCATTATTTTTCAACTTTCAGCAACAGTTTAAAAAATTCGTCACAAAAAAATATCACTATTATAAGTTTTAGTGACAATTTATAAAAATCATGATAAAAAAAGTCACTAATT